TTTTAGGAGAGCAGTTTCTGTGAAGTGTTGAGGGCAAAATCCAGACTGAAGGGGATTAAGAAGGTTATTCCTATTGAGGTGGTTACTCAGTTGGTTGTAGACCAGATGTTCAAGGAGTTTGTAGAAAAAGGGGAGCAAGGAGATGGGGCATAGATTGTTAAGATTGGTGGGGTCCAAGGAAGGATTTTTAAGTATGGGGGTGACTAGTGCATGTTTTAGAGAGTTGGGGAAGGTGCCAGAAGAGAGGGAGAGATTGAAGATGTGAGTTAGAGAGTGTAAGATAGAGCGAGTATTTGAGAGGGAATACAGTCCAGGGGACTGGTGGTTAGGTGGGTGTTTTAGAAAAATGTTTAGCAACTTCATCTGTAGTAGCAGGGTTGAATAAGGGTAGTGTTGAGTGCACCTGTGGACATGGGGTGTTAAGTGGGGGAGTGATTACACACTATTGTTTACATCGCCTAAGTCATGTATGTTGTGACAGTGCAGGTGCAGTGCATAACTAATTCAGAGGAAGATGTAGACACCAGCAGTGGTAGCACAGGAGCAGAATGACTTCAGCCCTTAGTCAGCCAGTGCGCCTGTTCAGCTGCCGATGCCTACTTATTATTGATGTTTACAAGTTGACACAGAATGAACTAGACAGTGGCAGCACTGCATGGGGTCCATTCACATTGTATGCATGTGTTACCTGACAATTATCAAACCATGTACACAACATTTTCTAGTTTAGGATCATGCAGCTGAACGCAATGGACCAAAACGGAGTGGTGTGACTATGTTTGCATCTCTATAAATTACAGATCTGAATGCAACGTATTGTATACCTGTGTCAGTTAATAGCCAGAGTATAAGTGGCCGTATGCTCAAAACTGGTAGCACTGCTTGTATTTATTGGGCTGTTTATGGGCAGCCATTGCCACTGATTGCCCTGAAAATTCCAACCTGACTACTCTACTTTTCCTGCATGATTGTGTCTACTCACACAGACATTTAGGACTCATTCTTAAACAGCATGTTTCTTTTGGTGGGTGATGCTGCTGCAGAACGTGGCTAATGATGCTTTATAGGGCCACCCTGCAACCACCCCTCAACTGGGTGCAATGCATGTGGGCAAACATGCTATAGGTACTAACTGTACACAGGTGTACAATGCTGTAGTACTGCAATTATTGGGTTAAATCAGGCAGTGCGGAGGTACTATGTCGCCTTCTCACTATCTGTCAAACACCTCTGAAAAGTGATCTGAACGTAGATTGCTGTACAAAGGAGCGGCAGTCACTATTGCATATGTTAAAAGGCCCTGTAAATGCTGCACTACTGCAGAACAGCCCCATTGAACTGCATTAATTGTGTTTGGCAGTGGCAGCGGCTCCGGCATATCAATGATAATCACCTCATGGAAGTACAGACTCATATTCCATGCCCTGTCATAGATGATAACCCCCCTGTATGTACAGACACATGCCCCATGTAATGTCATAGATGATAACGTACAGCGCCTATTGGCGCTTTATAAATACTGTATAATAATAATAATAATAACCCCCTGTATGTATAGATGCATGCCTCATGCCATGTCATAGATGATCACCCCCCTTTAGTTACAAACTCATGTCCCATCTCATGACATAGATGATCACCACCTCCCATGTCATAGATGATCATTCCCTGTATGTACAGACACGTCCCATATCATAGATGATCACCCCCCTGTACATACAGACACATGTCCCATGTCATGTTATAGATGATCACCCCTCTGTATGTACAGACACATGTCCCATGCCCTGTCATAGATGATCACCTCTTGTATGTAGAAACACATGCCCCATGCCATGTCATAGATGATCATCCCCAGTATGTAGAAACACATGTCCCATGCTAGGTCATAGATGATCACCCCCTGTGTGTAGTGACACATGTCCCATGCTAAGTCATAGATAGATGATCACCCCTGTGTGTAGAGACATGTCCCATTATAGATGATCACCCCCCTGTATGTACAGACACATATCCCACTCCATGTCATAGATGATCACTCCCTGTATGTAGACACATGTCCCTTGTCCTGTCATAGATGATTACCCCCCTGTATGTACAGACACGTCCCATGTCATTGATGATCATCCCCCTGTATGTACAGACACATGTCCCATGTAATGTCATAATTCATAATGATCATGTCCCCTGTAAGTACAGACACTTGTCCCATGTATAGATGATCATCCCCCTGTATGTACAGACACTTGTCCCATGTAATGTCATAGATGATCACTCCCCTGTATGTACAGACACCCATGTCATAGATGATCATCCCCCCATGTATGTACAGACACATGTCCATAGATGACCACCCTCTGTATGTACAGACACATGTCCCATGTCATAGATGATCACCCTCTGCATGCACAGACACATGTCCCATACCATGACATAGGTGATCACACCCTGTATGTACAGACACCTGTCCCATGTCATAGGTAATTATCTCCCTGTATGTACAGACACATGTCCCATGTAATGTCATACATGATCACTCCCCTGTATGTACAAACACCTGTCCCATGCAATAGATGACCACCCTCTGTATGTACAGACACGTGCCCATACCATGTTATAGATGATCGCCTCTTTTATGTAGAAACACATGTGCATGCCATGTCATAGATGATCACCCCCTGTATGTACAAACACATGCCCCATGCCATGTTATAGATGATCACCTCACTTGTATGTACAGACATGTCATGTCCCAGATGCCACCCCTGTGTATACCATGTTATACATGACCCTCTTGTATGTACAGACACATTCCCTATGTCATGTCATACATGATCACCCCTTGTATGTACAAACTCATGCCCCATGCCCTGTCTGGCTCTTTGTTTGCCTGTCTCTTATGGTGATGCCAGGAACACCATTTTCCGGGATGGGATGATGGAAAGCCAGGAGATGTCCCAGCCCCCCTTTGTCCCACTAATAGCATGCATACTCCTAATAATGGGCGGGGATCATTACCTCATCCTATCATCGTCCAGCCAATCACAGCCCCGATCTCCCGGCGCCTGGAGGCCGTCGGAATTGTCTGCTCCAATGAGAAAATCTCCAGCCTGGTTTCCATAACGACGGGATTGTATATAATGAGCAGTGTTGGACCATGTGTTGCAGGTTCTCTTACACCGACCTCCTTAGAGTCGCACTGTAAGAAGGCATCCATCCTTCTCTTCTCCTTCCTCTCACCCTCTTCTCAGCAGCACAGCAAACATGGTAAGGACCACAGCATGGGGGATGGGGAGGGGGGGGGGGGGGGGGGGTGAGAGTGATGGGGAACAAAGAAGATGCTTTGTACTTTACATCTGCTCTAACATGGCTGCATCCTTCTAACAATACAGGGCTGTGGCTGGCCTCTGTATTGTATCCTTCAGTCATCTGATGTTGGCCTCTGTATCTGTTATATGATCTGTGATCAGTTCTTGTAATCAATTATTGGATCTGTTATATGACTTTTTCAGTCATGGATGTGATCTGTTATATGATCTGTGATCAGTTATATGACTTGTAATCAATTATTGGATCTGGGATCTGTTATAGGATCTGCGACTTTGTAATCAGTTATTGGATCTGTGATCTGTTATATGATCTGTGATCAGTTATATGACTTGTAATCAATTATTGGATCTGGGATCTGTTATAGATCTGCGATCAGTTATGTCTGTTACTTGTGATCTCTGATTTTTGGTGATCTATTTTTGGATCTGTGATCTGTTACTGGATTTGTGATGCATCCCTATGAAATGCACTGCAGCTTGTCCCATGTACATTCCACCTAGATGGGTACTCTAGGTGTGGTGACATTGCTTAGACTGTTTCATGTCATTTTTGTCTATGTAAGTGCATGTCTGGAGCTCTCCATACCACGCCCTGTCTTCTGAGACCACATCCAGCCCTGAGCTCCAATCCAGTACAGCAGCACTCATATTTTCCTGGCTACAGCCCTCTCCCATTAACCCTCCCTTGGCCATAGGGACGTGCAGGCTGCTGATGACAGCCTGTCTTTGTTCAGTTATCATGACAATGTCATGGATCACCTGTAAGAGTTTATCACTGTACCAGCATTGAATGGCGGATCAGGCATAGAATCCTCCTCATCTGGGTAATAGCTGTATGATGGGTATGGTATGTGACACAGAGCATGGCTTGTGAATGGAGGTTTTGTCTGCTTGTCTTACCCTCCCATCTGCTAGTGTGAGGTCAGGGGACATTGTGAAAAGAGCAGGAGGAGATCAGTCTATGGAAGATGAAAGACATGGAGTGTTCGCTGTTCTTAGTTTGAAACTATATTAAAAAAACATCTAGTTAGGATTTGCCATTTCTTATAGGGATAGTATATAAATAAGCTGGGTTGTTTGGGGCTGGTAGTAAGGTGAATGAGGATGGGAATGCCAGGGGCTACACACGCCCACCTACAGCCATTCACAAAGATCTTAATGCTGCAGTGGGTGTGGCATCAGCACCAGCCATCTCCATTTCTCATTGTTTTCCCTGACGCCGTAGAAGGACCATATCCTTGTGACAACAGGTATACTGCTGGATTGATGAATCATATATGTTCAAAAAATTACATTTATATATATATAAATAATATATTTATATATATATATATATATATATATATATATATATATATATAAAAAACCATATATGCAATTACAAACCATAATGCACAAGGATATCTAGTACATTTTTAAATATATTCTCTAGATATTGTCATAAAAAAAGGGAGGGCGGAGAGAAAAGGAAATCAGCACATCTATGACTAATTTCCTTTTCCTGGCATTTGCCTAAATGTTCCCATTGTAAAAGTGAAGTGGGGTATAAACAAAGTATTTATTATCATATAAACAGCTATTAAACAGAATACTGAAACTAAGCAGTGACAACCGTTTCTGTTTCCTCTACAGCGTGAGTGCATCTCTATCCACGTTGGTCAGGCTGGTGTACAGATTGGTAATGCCTGCTGGGAGCTGTACTGCCTGGAACATGGCATCCAGCCTGATGGGCAGATGCCCAGTGACAAGACCATTGGAGGAGGGGACGATTCCTTCAACACCTTCTTCAGCGAGACTGGAGCTGGCAAACATGTTCCTAGGGCTGTCTTTGTGGATCTGGAACCAACTGTCATTGGTAAGTGGATGAAAGGCAATATCAAATTGTTTTAGTGAGATATATATATATATATATATATACACAAGAAAAAGTCCAATTGTTTTCCGGTTGATAATGTTGCAGTGCAATATTACAGTCAGTTTATTTGTTGCCTTTTTTGAACAATTGTTTATCCAGACTTGGAGCATTGTAGAGCATCCCTTAGAACACTAGAGGATTTTTAAATATTCAATATTATCATATCAATGCTTAGTAATGGCATGTGAAAATATAAAAAATCTGGCATGTGAAAATATAAAAATTCAGCATGTTTTGCAAAACTGTGATCTTGCCCTGTGTATGATGAATTAAATTAGAATTTAAATATATATAGAAATAATATTATGTCTAATGTACAGGTAAGAAACTGCTGACAGTAGCAATTCATTATGAACAAACAGTAATTTCTTTCATAAACAAAAAGAGTATGGCCATTTTATTATGGGCACAACCTGCATTTTCCTTGTTGTATTTATATCAGCCCTATTATTATGTAGGTGTTGTCCCTGTATACGTATCTCTAAACACAGTGCACATTGTAATAAAAGGAAGAATTTCTACAGTTTCTCGTTATTTGAGTAAATCTCTGATACGATTACAGAGGTATATGGCAAACTGAAACAATCTAGAAATTGCTCTATAAAATCATGATGTACCGTAGTTGCTGGTTAATTAGCATTTTATGCCTTCTTTTCTTTTATATTACTAGCTTTGTGGCAGGAAACCACACACATCTGGGGCTTCTGAGCACTGCTGTCTGCCCTTAAGTATATTTTTAAAAATGTCCACAACCAGAGCTCATTTATCATTAAAATGGAAACAGTTAAGGGTCAGTAAGAGTGATATTTTAGTTATAGGGAAATCTTTTGAACTGATTCAGCCCCTGAATTGTTATATGTATTTGATACTCCAACACAGATCTGTCTGCCATAATCACAAACTCTTTTTGTGTTCACCTAATAGTTTGGGGTTCTTATATTCACCTTTGGGCATTCCATCAATTACTGTTGCAGTCTCCACAATATGACATAAATCCACCAGGGACAGTAGGACACCTTCATAGTGGACACAGGAACTCAAGAGTAGTGATCTCACCACTACAGGCCACTAAAAAATATTAAAAACAATCTTGTGGTTTTGTTTTCTGACACCTACCAAAAATGAAAACATACGTTTTAAGTCAATGGGCCCATTAAACAGAGTAGGTAAAGGATATATTATCAAATTAGTGATCTAATACCTGTCCCAGCACTCTTCTTAGTGATGCATTCCCTTTAAGCCATTCGCTAATGCTTAGTATTAGGCTTGCTCAGACTACTGGATACATTTTGCATGGCCTTTGAGCTATAATGTAGCTGACATAACAAGTGACAGCTTATCTAATAATGTCTCCAGTAGGTGCTTATTGCATTTTCACTTAAAGCTTTTCCTTTCTTGCAGATGAGGTACGCACAGGCACATACCGACAGCTATTCCATCCAGAGCAGCTAATCACTGGTAAAGAGGATGCTGCCAACAACTATGCCCGTGGTCACTACACAATTGGCAAGGAAATCATTGATCTGGTGCTGGACAGGATCCGCAAACTGGTAAGAATTTTATCATGCACTTCCATTCAAAGACTGCATACTTGATGAAGTACATCTGATTCCATCAGCTTACACTTTGCTGGGGGTTTAGGGAATATTTTAAATATGCAGTGTAGCCTAAAGTTATGATCATGTTGACCTACACCAGCTGAGGAAATTGACGTTGACCTAATCTATCTCTCAGAAAGTCTTTCTTTCTATCTTTTCTTTAGTCTACTTAAATGGTAACATGTTTGTTTCCAGCTTGAAGGTTCTTAATGATCCTTGGAAAATTGTACATTACATGTATTCTTATAAGCTTTTTATTTATCCACAGGCTGACCAGTGCACGGGTCTTCAAGGTTTCCTGGTCTTCCACAGCTTTGGTGGCGGTACTGGATCTGGCTTCACCTCTCTGCTGATGGAACGTCTCTCTGTTGATTATGGGAAGAAGTCCAAGCTGGAATTCTCTATCTATCCAGCTCCCCAGGTTTCAACAGCAGTTGTTGAGCCCTACAACTCCATCCTTACCACTCACACCACCCTGGAGCACTCTGACTGTGCTTTCATGGTGGATAATGAGGCCATCTATGATATCTGCCGTAGAAATCTAGATATTGAGCGCCCCACCTACACTAACCTTAACAGGCTTATTGGTCAGATTGTATCCTCTATTACAGCTTCTCTCCGATTTGATGGAGCCCTGAATGTAGATCTGACAGAGTTCCAGACCAACTTGGTGCCCTACCCTCGTATCCACTTCCCTCTTGCCACTTACGCCCCAGTTATCTCAGCTGAGAAAGCCTACCATGAGCAGCTTTCTGTCGCTGAGATCACCAATGCTTGCTTTGAGCCAGCTAACCAGATGGTGAAATGTGACCCACGCCATGGTAAATACATGGCTTGCTGCCTGTTGTACCGTGGTGATGTGGTGCCCAAAGATGTTAACGCAGCTATTGCCACCATCAAGACCAAGCGTACCATTCAGTTTGTGGATTGGTGTCCTACTGGTTTCAAGGTTGGTATTAACTATCAACCACCAACTGTGGTACCAGGTGGTGATCTGGCCAAGGTACAGCGTGCTGTGTGCATGCTAAGCAACACCACTGCTATTGCAGAGGCCTGGGCTCGACTGGATCATAAGTTTGATCTCATGTATGCTAAGCGTGCTTTTGTGCACTGGTATGTGGGTGAAGGCATGGAGGAGGGAGAGTTCTCTGAGGCCCGTGAGGATATGGCTGCTCTGGAGAAGGATTATGAGGAAGTTGGTGTAGATTCTGTGGAAGGAGAGGGCGAAGAGGAAGGAGAAGAATATTAAATGTCAAAACGGTGCTGCTTTTTACAGGGAACAACAAAACATCTGAGAAACACACATTTCTTTGCTCAGCCAGTTGGTTTGTGTGTAGCAACTTTCTTTTCCAATGTATTTTGCTGCATTTAACTGTTCTGGTCCAAAACACTTGAAACTCTATGACAGATCCAGTCAGTGCATTTCTGTTTTGGGTTTGTCAATAAAACATTCCCTGTCTTACGTATTTATGTGTTATTTGTTTTTTTTTTGTCTTTTTAATCACATTTTGTTATATTGTCATACAAAAAAGTAATAGTGGAGACACTATAGAGTGGTGTATCTTGGGTTGCACAAAAATCTAACTCTTCATGACTGTTTTTAAACACATACTAACTTCAAGAATGTGGACTGATTAACAACCGACCTTTCAAAGAAAACTGGAAAGATAATATGGTTACAGTGATTATGTCGCTTTACAAAGTGTGTTAAAGAACTGCTCCTTGCAAGAAGCAGTTCTTCAGAAGAGAAGAACATAACTACCTATCTCTCCGGCAGGCAGAGAGTCTGAATTGCACTTGTGAAAAAAGTATGCATTGTCTTGTCTTGCAGGGAGTAGTTCTGATGATCTTTCGGTAAAGGCAGAAGGTTACTTCAAAGAAGTGTGGGATTAAAAAAAAAAAAAAAAAAAAACACAAAAAACCTACATACCTCCATGCTGCAACATCAGCTGCTTCTGGGTCACAGAAGTGCAAAACAGGTGTGTGAGAACAGATCACAAAGAAAACACTGCTCAGTTTTTAAACTTAAAATGGAACTTTAGCCATAACAACTTGATAAGAAACAATGTTCTTTAGCAAGAAACATACATTCCACTTTAATAATTATAATAATATAAATTATAATAATATAATTAAAAATACAATTATTATTATTTAAAAATGAGTGTGTGCTGTAAATTGCCTCGAGCATTTCTTCTGTTTCTTCTTGTTAGAGGCTGTCATTTTTCTGAAGCCCAGAGCAGTAAATCTTTAGGCTGTCAGCAGATCAGCCTCTACATTTTCAGCACAATGCCAGAGCAACTAAGCATGGGCAGACCAGAGTGAAACAGTGTATTTCTGGATTTTAAACAGAATAATCACTTTTTTTATGTTTTACAAAAGAGCTTTGGCTGTCCTTCTTCTTTACTACTGCTTTAATAATACAAAAATATATAGTAACATTCTAAGCTTTCTAACTTACATTTCAATCTCATTCTCAGCTAGCATCTTCGTCATCCCTCTAAGACAGCGGTTCTCAACCTGGGGGTCGCGACCCCTTTGGGGGTCGAACGACCCTTTCACAGGGGTCGCCTAAGACCATCGGAAAACACACATTTCCGATGGTCTTAGGAACCGAGACACCGCTCCTCTAGCTGTCTCCAGGTGTGGGCGGGATGACATGCAGTCCCTGTCATCTGGACACACCCCGGGATCAATCCTCGCCGGTGATTGGCCGCCGGAACTGTAGCTCAGGAGAGGCACACAGGCGGCCAATCACCGGCGAGGAGGTGGAGCTTAGAGAGGAGGAGTCGAGCGGCACCGCGAAGATCGAGCGAGTGAAGAGGAGGAGAGCGGCCGGAGAAGGAAGACAGCTGATCGGTACCATGGGAGAGGGAGGGAGCAAGCGAGCCCAGGCTGGAGCAGGGGTCAGCAAGGTAAGTATCATTGGTGTCAGTGGGAGGAATAGTGCCCCATCATTGGTGTCACTAATACCAATGATGGGGCACTATTCCTCCCACTGACACCAACGATGGGGCACTATTCCTCCCCCCACTGACACCAACGATGGGGCACGATTCCTCCCCCAAATGACACCAACGATGGGGCACAATTCCTCCCCCCACTGACACCAAGGATGGGGCACAATTCCTCCCCCCACTGACACCAAGGATGGGGCACAATTCCTCCCCCCACTGACACCAAGGGTGGGGCACTATTCCTCCCCCCACTGACACCAAGGATGGGGCACTATTCCTCCCCCCACTGACACCAAGGATGGGGCACAATTCCTCCCCCCACTGACAAAAAGGATGGGGCACAATTCCTCCCCCCACTGACACCAAGGATGGGGCACAATTCCTCCCCCCCACTGACACCAAGGATGGGGCACAATTCCTCCCCCCACTGACACCAAGGATGGGGCACAATTCCTCCCCCCACTGACACCAAGGATGGGGCACAATTCCTCCCCCCACTGACACCAAGGATGGGGCACTATTCCTCTCCCCACTGACACCAAGGATGGGGCACTATTCCTCCCCCCACTGACACCAAGGATGGGGCACTATTCCTCCCCCCACTGACACCAAGGATGGGGCACAATTCCTCCCCCCACTGACACCAAGGATGGGGCACAATTCCTCCCCCCACTGACACCAAGGATGGGGCACTATTCCTCCCCCCACTGACACCAAGGATGGGGCACAATTCCTCCCCCCACTGACACCAAGGATGGGGCACAATTCCTCCCCCCACTGACACCAAGGATGGGGCACTATTCCTCCCCCCACTGACACCAAGGATGGGGCACTATTCCTCCCCCCACTGACACCAAGGATGGGGCACAATTCCTCCCCCCACTGACACCAAGGATGGGGCACAATTCCTCCCCCCACTGACACCAAGGATGGGGCACTATTCCTCCCCCCACTGACACCAAGGATGGGGCACAATTCCTCCCCCCACTGACACCAAGGATGGGGCACAATTCCTCCCCCCACTGACACCAAGGATGGGGCACAATTCCTCCCCCCACTGACACCAAGGATGGGGCACAATTCCTCCCCCCACTGACACCAAGGATGGGGCACAATTCCTCACCCCCACTGACACCAAGGATGGGGCACAATTCCTCACCCCCACTGACACCAAGGATAGGGCACAATTCCTCCCCCCACTGACACCAAGGATGGGGCACAATTCCTCCCCCCACTGACACCAAGGACGGGGCACAATTCCTCCCCCCACTGACACCAATGACGGGGCACTATTCCTCCCCCCACTGACACCAATGACAGGCACTATTCCTCCCCCACTGACACCAATGAAGGGGCACTATTCCTCCCCCCACTGACACCAATGATGGGCACTATTCCTCCCACTGATACCAATGATGGGGGCACTATTCCTCCCACTGATAACAATGATGGGGCACTATTCCTCCCACTGACACCAATGATAGGACACTATTCCTCCCACTGCAAAATTAGAGTTATGAAGTAGCAACGAAAATAATTTTATGGTTGGGGGTCACCACAACATGAGAAACTGTATTAAGGGGTCGCGGCACTAGAAAGGTTGAGAACCACTGCTCTAAGACATTCACTGGTCATCCCCTTTACTTAAAAACCCTTACTGAACCCCTCCAGTCTGAACAACTTAAGACCCATCTCCTTGCTCCTGTGTACCTCCAAATCCCTTGAATACCTCTAGTCTACAACTGTCTGAGACACCTCCACACTGTTAGACCACATACACAATGGGAGTTTAGCCCCTGTGCATGAGATCCCAGCATTTGTGGGTAGAGGGAACAGGCGCACCATCCAACCCTGCAGCTTGCAATCTCTAAACACATGCACTGATAGTGAGCATGCTGACAGGAGGAGGGAGCAGAGGGATGGCTTTATTAGTTGTGTTGCTGTTTTTTCAATGCCCAGTTAACAGGGTGTCATTGACCAAGGTATTCTGGATGGTAAGAATCTTGATCCCAAATCTGACTACACATAACATTCAAATCTGTCCATAGGCCCAGTCAGATTAGTTCATTTTAAACAAATGCAATTATGACTGGGCTTTTGCAAGAAAGATAACAAAGAGGTTAAGGACCAGTATACGCCATGCCCTCATCTGAATCGCACAGGAATGCGCTGTGCATTCCTGTGCGATTCAAACCGCATCCAAAACGCACTGCATTTGCGATCTGCATATGTAAAAAAAAAAAGGTTAACACTTCAAATGCAGGTCGCAAACGCAGTGTGTCTACCCATGCCAGATCACATGGTACGTTTGTACTATGCAATCAGGTTACAGTACGTTTTAAAAAGTAGTGCATCCACTACTGTTGGTGTGGTGTGTTTTCAACTCATTTAAACTGAATGGGCTGAAATCGCAACACACAAAGCTGCATGTGAATCGCAGAGAAACACACAGCAAGTTGGTGTGAACTGGCTCTAAAGCATAACTAAACCCAAAAACATTTTGGCAAGCAAAGAATATACCCATAGATCTTGCCAGAAATGCGGTGTCCTTGTTATTTCCAGTGGGATGCATAAACTAAAAATTTTTATCTTTCTGTAAACTAAAAATCCCATCAGCGACCATGCAATGGGTAAGAACAAAGGCAGATATAGTAGTAGTCCAGCCGAAGTGGCAACCATGGCTGCCACCATAGATGTAGAAGAGGGTTGAACATAGCCACCCAGAGACAGTAAGCGTGTTATTCCCAGGACCAAGAGAAAATAAAGGAAAAAAGAAAAAGATGGCAGCTACTTCATCTAACGATGGATAAGCAGCAATATATTACATTTTTTGTTTTGGGCTTAGACATGCTTAAAAAATGGCTACTTATTTTGCTTAACTTATCCAGGCTGACCCTAGTACAGTGTTCATTTTGTTGTCAAATTTTGATTCAGTTTCAGTCATAGCCTTTTGACTAAAATGCCATTTTAGTTTTAGCCATATTTAAGTCATCTGAATTGTTTTAGTTTTAGTCGTATTTTAGTCGACTAAAATCTTCAGTACATTTTAGCTGACTAAAATCATTTAGTCAACTAAAATCTAATGGGTTTAGTTACATTGTAATGTATTATTTAAGCATTTCTCCCGAATTTCTCCCGAAACTCATTATATACTTCTGGAGTAAAAAATCGAATA